GAAAACGAAGGCACTTTGCTCCAACAATTTTCATTCAAAGTATTCCAGACCACACGCAGCAGTTTAGGTCTGAAAACTTTGAAGGGGGTCTTGTAGACGGTAAAAAATACCTCTATGATCTACATGGAAGTTGCCTACGAGAAGAGCTCGCACGTCCAGTTCTCTGCACGGACCTAAACCGGTGACGTTCGACTGACTCAAGTCCAGGTCGCCTACACGCGTCGACTCGCCAGCACGATGTATGGTCGATCAGATGGCGGAATTCGCTCTTCGCTCAACTCGCCTGCCCGAGTTCGGGTCGGAATCACAGCAAGCCCCAAAACCCGTCAGCTACAGACTGGGTATCCACTACCCCACGTGCTGAGATGGACCTTCCCATCTCTCTCGACCCGAAGGGAGAGAGAGCACTGTACCCCAGGACCGTCAAAATGGCCGCCCACATTGCACACAGCGCAAAAGACTGGACAGGCGTCGAGTCAACCTGAGCATTCATAAATGCGACTCACCTCGGCTGTCTGAGCCAAGAGCTGGATCCGTCGGCACTCGGCAAGCTGGCTAGACCCACTCGAGTACTGTACACCTACTTCACCGCCTCTCCTGACCGGAAAGGAGAAAGCGTCGTGCTCAAAGCACGCCGGGCGGTCACGCACAGTACAAGTGATCGGACAGACACTTCATCGATCTGCGAACTCATAAATGCGGTTCATTAATGCTGGTCAAATCCACTCGGATAGCAGTCGTTTGTTGCCTCACATACAAGAATGGGCCTTCCCATCGTAGGTGACAGGACATAGAGCACAATCCCTGGAATGACCGTTCATGGTATCGAGGAACGGCGAGACGTCTCTGAAGAGGATGTGGTCACATCCCACAATTCAAGGAGAAGTCAAGCTGTCCTTCTTTCATTTAAAAATCCCTTCCAGCACGATGGAAGAGAGGTCGCAAAACTTGGAGAAAAAAGAGTTGAGACCAAGCTGTTAGCAAATCCTTGCATTACAGCACTGCTGCCTAGTTCCGAGCTCCGATCGCCGACGAACTAAGCAGACCCGAACTCCATTGCCCCGAGCTTCTACTGCGAACTGAAGCTCTCCAGCAACCTCGTTCAAACGGTCCAAGGGAAGCAGACTCGACCCGAGCATCGAGCGAAGCGTCCTATAGCCACCTAAAGTCCCCACACAAAACAAAGAGGGCCTTCCCTCTGCTTCTGTTGTAAACATTTGATTTGTTAGTTTGTAATAAGCTTTCTTATAAATACAAACGAAACTCCTTTCTTCGGAAGAATCAAATTTTCACCCTACAAATGGTTGCATGTCCTCATGCACTCATCAACCCATGTGAATGTGGTCCCACATTTAAATGACTGGAGAGGGATGTGCCACCTCACTACCAATCACAAATTTTGTGTTTGGTTGTCGGGCACGCTTCCGCACGGCGCGCGACACATTTAATGTGTAGGAAGAAGTAAACTTAGTTTAAATCTATCTAATTGTTAGTAGAATTTGTCAAACTTTTTTTGATGCCATTGATAATCATTTTGAGAAGATATTCTAGTTCTATGCTTAAAACTATGGAACCATCAACTGGGCATGTGAATTGTCACTAGGAAAAAAACAATTCGATCTATGATCTGATTGTAAAGGCAAAGAATACGTAAACTAATATACCAATTTATTATTCATAAACCTGGAAATCTCTCAACTCATACATATGTTGCTCACAATATCCAGTATCTGCACTATATCACCCCTTTTCTTTTTGCTGGCGCTTCACACATCCACCTTCGCTTCGTCCTCACAACTTGTTCCACTGATCTCATACTCGATGTGCTCAGCTCGGCCAAATCGTCCAGTGGTAGCCAGCATCTTCTCCTGAGCCTTAGGTTTCTGATTCTTCGGCTTCTCCTCGCGGAACATATTTTGAAGATTAGGGAAGTGAGGTCCCTCACACATGCTCGTTTTCTTCTCCATACTGGTGATATACGCACAATAGTCGTCTGAGCTCTGGTTGAGGCGTCGCGTCTGATGAGGAGCCATCACTGATCGATCTTCTCTGTGTAAAAATGATGGATTAATTGAGAGTTATCGGAATTAATTAAGTTTGGGTCTCTTTTTATAGAAGACCGGACGAGGGGAGAATATATTCACTGAAATGATATTTATAAAGTTGTGGAAATGCCTCAAGTTGTCAAAAAAAGTTTTAGGTGATTATATTCTCAATCGACCCTTTTTAAGAATAAAATATCCGCTCGATCAGAGGGTCTATCCATACATGCAATTAGGTGATACTACAGGTGGTCTATCCGCAGTTATTGTTAAAGCCTATGTCCATCAAGTCATGAACCCATATACATGCAAGTTTTAGGTAACCGCATTTATGCTATGCTGTAGACGTTACATGTTCACTCCTCTTATATATCCTTGAATAAGGAGAATGATGCTATGTTTGTGAATTATACATTTCTTTGTCCTACAAATGTTTTTTTTTCTCTCCCTTCATATAATTGCTTTATTGTTTTTTAATGTTTGAGAAATGTTTCTTGATAACTTAGACCAGTTGTATGTAGGAATTAAAGTTTTAGTCACGACTCATACAAAACATTATAAATTTACACTACTACAAAGAAGGCCTGCCCCAACGGTTGTAACCGTTGGGGCAGATAGTATCCCCAACGGTTGGGACCGTTGGGGCAAATAAATCACCCGTTACAGCAAGTGGCGTTGGGGCTGAAACTGCCCCAACGGGTGTAATTTCTGCACCAACGGTTGTACCCGTTGGTACAAGTAAAAATATAATTAAATATTAAAAAAAAATTAAATCATGAAAAAATTGGCACCAACGGTTACAACCGTTGGTGCAAAAAACAGCACCAACGGTTGTAACCGTTGGTGCAAAGAGTTGCACCAACGGTTACAACCGTTGGTGCTGTTTTTTGCACCATTGCACCAACGGTTACAACCGTTGTTGCACCAACGGTTACAACCGTTGGTGCATATATTGTGCATTAATTGTCGATGCTCTGTAGTACCATCAAAGTGAACATCATCATCCCTATAGAGATGGTCTTCTTTCAACATACGTCGATGACCACAATAACATATCTTTTTGCTAAAAGGCAACCATGTCGATGTTGTATCCACGTGGCAATATGGACATGCTTTATAACCATGTACAGAATATCCTGATAGCATTCCATATGCAGGAAAATCATTAATTGTCCACATTAAGGCTGCACGCATTATGAAGGTTTCCCCTTTATCTGCATCATATGTCTCCACACCATCAATGAATAAAGACCGTAACTCTTCGATGAGAGGTCGGAGATAAACGTCGATATTATTTCCCGGTGAACTGGGTCCATCAATCAAAAGAGGCATCATAAAATATGATTGATCCATAGCCAGCCACGGTGAGAGATTATAAATCATCATTACAACCGGCCATGTGCTGTGTGGATTACCATTAAAACTAAAGGGGCAAAAGCCATCACTAGCTAGTCCGAGCCTGATATTACGAGGATCCTGACTAAATATTGGATGTAACTTGTCAAAATTCTTCCATGCAGGTGAATCTCTTGGATGACTCATTTTGCCATCTTCACTTGGAAGAGCACGATCATGCCAGGTCATTGCCACCGCTGTCTTCTTACACTTGTAAAGTCTCTGCAACCTCTGTGTAATAGGAAAATATCGTACTACCTTGAGAGGTATGTTATTCTTGCTAATATGTGCCTTCTTCTTATATGTGCACACTCCACAAGTAGGACACTCCTTCTTATATGAGTTTTCTTTCCAATATAGTACACAATCATTGGGACATGCATGCATCTTCTCACAATTTAAACCCAGATTAGACATTATCTTTTGAGCTTCATACCAGCTATCAGGGACATTGTTCCCAACAGGCATAGAATCTTTTAGGAATTTAAGAAGCATCGTGAATGACTTGTTGCTCCATTTGTTTAGGCACTTAATCTGGAAAAGTTGAACGAACCATGACAGCGTGGAATGTTTTGCATTCTCATAAATCGGTCTCCTAGCATCATTCATGTACTTCTCATACTCATCTACATATTGTTCTTGTCTGGGAGGACTATCTTCAACATGATTAGGGTCACCGAAAGCAACCTCTACCATTTCCTCCATCTCCTCTTCTGGAAACAAGTTAATATCGTCAACTTCTTCTTCTTCTTCTTCGACATTAATAGGAGTTAGAATTTCTCCGTGATATACCCAAGTTGTATAACCTCTAATAAAACCATACTTGACATTGTGAAGTTCTACATCTTCCTCTTTGCGATGCAAAGTATTCCCGCAATGGCTACACGGACAAAGAATCATGCCACGTTGGATCTTATCGTGTTCACGTACAAAGTTTATAAAAGAAGCAACTCCTTCAATGAATTCAGGCTTTGTACGTTTTTCACGATTCACATACATCCAGTCCTTAACTCTGATATAGTCACGAGCCATGATAACCTAACCAAGACAGAGTTAGTGATAACAACTCATAAATTAAGCACGCTTGCACTAATTTTCAGAAAATTATAAAAACTATATAGTTTGGTATAAATAAATTTTATTTACTTGTTTAAATTTAATCACAATTTTCATAAATGTGAAACATACCTAGTGCATCAAATATTTATTATGTGTATGAAATTTTCACATAATATATGCTTACCAGTTATATTTCAAGCAGTAAAAGAATATAGCAAAAATCTAACAGTGACTACCAATTACCTCTTAGAAATTAAATGATAACAACTGGCCAATTAAAAATTAAAAACTCGATCTAGACATTAGCTTGAAATTAACACAGTTACGATAAGATTGTTCAATATTTTTTACTGAGGTAAAGCAGAAATGAATGGATTTATGTAATTTCATCGCATACATAATACACACTTTGATAGATGCACATAGCTAGTCTGTACTTATCCCCTGTAGACTTAAAGCCTCTTCAACACGTATATATACACACACATATGATATCGAAAAGGCTTTACTACTTGCTGGTAGGCCTGCAAGTGAGTCCCGATTACATGCTCTTGAACCAGGTTATTCTGATCTGAACTCAAAATTTAGACTCATGGATCATATGCAGGTCTGAATTTTAGATCTGAAACTCCTCCTAGATAATGGTATGAGCCTGTAACATTTGTATGAGACTCAATAAAACCCAATAAATCCAAAATACCCAATGAAGTTTAGTTTAAAAGTGCGAACGCATTGTTCAATAATGTCGACCACAATGGGTCCAACTTGAATCCGACCCACACAAATGCCCAACCCGAACAAGACCCACCTAATGATGGTGGGTATGGGTACGAGAAATAACGTGTTGTATTTGGATGCAGTATGTTGCTTGGCCTAACAGGTTAAGTCATTTTATGTGCTTAATGCCAGTGTAATTGCTAGGTTATAATAGGGGTTATTCAATAGTTTTTTATCGTGAAAACGCCGCATTTAGATTCTCACTTCTGCCAACGTTATGAAGCTATACATCATAAGACTATTGTTGCAGAAAACCATGACTATTGGGTTGGTTTTAGTAGTTCAAATACAACTACATGCTTCCATCATTTTAAAAAAATAAGGAAGGAAAAAGACAACTATATGTCCCAGGTAGGGAATAATTGTATTTAAGGGTTAATTGAGGATAGACCTCTCTCGTACTATAGCCCAAGTGTGGATATTTCTCTCGTCATCAGTAAAGACCATAGCTTGTTCATAGTGTATCATCATTGCTGATGTTAGTGTTTCTTTCCTCCCGAATACTTACCTCTTAGAAATTAAATGATAACACTGACTACCAATTACCTCTTAGAAATTAAATGATAACAACTGGCCAATTAAAAATTAAAAACTCGATATGTCACAGGAAGTTAACATACTGCACAAACTCAATCATGTCAATATTATAAGCCTCCATGGAATTTGTACAGGAGAAGAAAACTGCTATTTAGTCTATGAATTCATGGAGAATGGGTCTCTGAAGGATTGGCTCAAGAATCCTAACAAGCAGTAATGTTCTCCTTAACGGGAAATTGAGAGCTAAAATAACAAATTTTACACTGGCAAGATCATCAGACTGGAGAGACCGTAGATCGAGCTGTGAGAATGAAATTGAGAGTTAAGAGGACTTACAAGTCAAGTGTCCGGCGAAGATGAGGAGGAGGAGAGGCGGCGAGGTTCGATTTGGGAGGAAGAACTAGGGTTTTTTTTGGGGATTCGGCGGAAAAGTACAGGTCGACGGCGGGGGCGAACTTCAGGGCTCGATGGCGGCGGCGATCTCCGACGGAGGTAGCGAACTGCGACGAAATGCAGGTCTCGACGGCGCAATGCAGGCTCGACGGCGGCGACGAAATGCAGGTCTCGACGGCAGCGGCGACGAACTTCAAGTCTCAGGCTCGACGGTAGCGGCGACGAACTCCGATCAGAGAAGCGGCCGGCAGCGGCGACGAACTCAGGGGGGACCGATTTTTTGATGAGAGAGAGAGAGAGAGAGAGAGAGCGGGGGAGGGAGAGAGAGATCGAAAACGGGTCTTTTGGGGGTTTTGGGGGGATTTCTTCGTTTTTTCTTTTTTTTCGCGAAAAAGAATGGGGGGAAAATTCCCTCCGTTGGCCTTTTAGCCAAATCCACTTTGCCCCAACGGGTTAACCCGTTGGGGCGGATAAATCCAGCCCCAACGGTTGTATACACCCGTTGGGGCTGGTCATCTTTTTACTAGTGTTAAGCAAAACGATCAGGTCGCAAGTAAGTCGAGCTTGTTTTCTAATCATACAAAATCCGTGCGAGTATGCAAAATCTCGTATCTTATGGCGGCAAAATAACTGCGGCGTGAACCTCACAAAACTTCTCTTTATATTTCGTAGTGCGTACGTGACCACAGAAGAAAAAAGAACCCATTAATATTTAAATAAATACTATAATAATAGACTGAATAAAATGTTAGGTAATTTTGATCTTAAAAATAAATTCGATGCTTTATATGTAATTATCTATTCTTTCAGGAACTATTTCAACTAATGTTAGGTAGTTGTGCACTCATTTTATGATAGGACTTTATTCAAAAAAATTTATATTACTGTCTATGCTAAAACTATCGGATAATCGGAACTTGAACTGTAGTTGTGCACTGTTTATAATTACAAAAGCCGCAATTAACTTTTTTATTTTTGTTTTTTAGCTTTAGTCCGAAACCTCCCTTCATTTCTTTTTTAGCCTATATTGCTTTTCAAAGTTATTTTTCTTGCCTTTAAACTCAACAACTATCCATTTATTTTTAACTTCACCAATTTCAAAAGTTTTACTATGATTGTTCATGTATAAATTCATACTTTCATCTCAACTTACTTTTAAACTCACGCATTTCCAAAACTAGTTAGATTGCACGTGCAATGCACGTGGTCGAATATCATGGTTATTTAAATTGATAAAAATAGAATAAAAATAAGAGAGAAAATAAAGTTATTTGCGGGATTGATTATCAACACAATAATCTCTCTTTCAAATGAAATGTTGTCATTATTTTTTTCAACCCAGACTGTCGCCACGTGATCTACTATTTGTGAGTTATAAACACATTGATCTAGTACAATATCTTTGTTTATTAGAATCTTAAAGCCTTTAAAAGATGAGTGATCAAGTCAGTTCAAAAAAAAAAAGATGAGTGATCATTCAATTCGCAAATGAATTTTTCATATGAATTTATTTGTAATATGTCCATTAAACTTTTAGTTGTCGTTTGACTCATATTCACATTAACTTTTAGCTGTGGTTTCACTCATATTTACATTATCTAATATTTTTATTTAATTGTATAGCTCATTCTCCGTACCATAGAAGTAAAACTGAAAGTATGAATACTTATTTTCTTGTAAAATTAGAGCAGAGTGATTATGATATATTTTACCAGGTACTTTAAATATAAAAAATCTCTTTGATGCAAGGCCCCTATCAGATCTTACCACAAACAATGTAAATGGAAAATGCTATTATAACTCACTTACCTGGAGCAATTATATTGTATGTAAGACATATACAATAGTTTCATATATTTTCTGGTTCTGACTGCAAAATACGCAAGAGTGGTAGTCTCGTGCATTTTCTGATTTTAATTACTTTTGTAATTAATGTTCTCTAATTACACGGGACTATTAGTCCCATGTATTTATTTTTTGAGAGAAAAACAAGGGGTATACCCTGTTCATTAAAACAAAAGTACTTTTACAAAAGTAGGATACGAACTGTATCCGTTGAAATTAGTAGATAGAAAAAGTAATTTCTCTAACTAGGGATGTATGACCTTCTTCTTTCAAACATCCATGAAGGTGAAGAGAGGCCCTTGCCGTCATTCACCGTTGACATGGATATAAGAAAGAACCAAAGCTGATCATACATATAGTAGGGAGAAATTAAACTTTCTATAGACTAATTGAATCAAACCAGCATACTACAAAAGAGTTATTATATACAAAACACATATGAAACAACTGATAATACTTAATTAGACACTGCTGCACCTCTGAATAGGTTTATGTACTAAAGTCGCTGCTAGCTTAAGTGCAGCCTTCCCTCCACCAGAACCTGACCATTCATACAAACCAGAAACACCTGAGTTAATGAAATCAGTAGTAGAGAAATTAAACTTTCTATGATTGTTCATGTATAAATTCATACTTTCATCTCAATTTACTTTTAAACTCACGCATTTCCAAAACTAGTTAGATTGCACGTGCAATGCACGTGGTCGAATATCATGGTTATTTAAATTAATAAAAATAGAATAAAAATAAGAGAGAAAATAAAGTTTTTTGCGGGATTGATTATCAACACAATAATCTCTCTTTCAAATGAAATGTTGTCATTATTTTCTTTAACCCAAACTATCGCCATGTGATCTACTATTTGCGAGTTATAAACACATTGATCTAGTACAATATCTTTGTTTATTAGAATCTTGAAGTCTTTAAAAGATGGGTGATCATTCAATTCGCAAAGGAATTTTTCATATGAATTTATTTGTAATATGTCCATTAAACTTTTAGTTGTCGTCTGACTCATATTCACATTAACTTTTAGCTATGGTTTCACTCATATTTACGTTATCTAATATTTTTATTCAATTATATAGCTCATTCTCCGTACCATAGAAGTAAAACTGAAAGTATGAATAATTATTTTCTTGTAAAATTAGAGCAAAGAGATTATGATATATTTTACCATGTACTTTAAATATAAAAAATTTCTTTGATGCAAGGTCCCTATCAAATCTTACCCCAAATAATATAAATGAAAAATGCTATTATAACTCACTTACCTGGAGCAATTATATTGTATGTAGGACATATACAGTAGTTTCATGTATTTTCTAGTTCTGACTGCAAAATACGCAAGAGTGGTAGTCTCGTGTATTTTCTGACTTTAATTACTTTTGTAATTAATGTTCTCTAATTACACGTGACTA